TAAGAGAGCACTAAATTCCTGGGGGGTTGTGGGCCGGTTTCACGTAAAAGCTCTTTACCGAGACGCAGATTTCGAAGAACACAAAGATGGGAATGAAGTATGAGTGAGATGATATCTTCCATGGAGCGCGAGAGGGCGAGAGGGGGAGAGGGGGGGAGATAAAGAGAGCGGGAGGGAGGAAGAGGGAGAGAGGGAGAGACGTGGAGAGATGTGGAAGTAGCTGAGAGCTCAGACGTTACAAGTGTGTTATTACATGTGCCTTGGGGAGCAGCAGCGTTGGGAGATACTCACACATGCCCTTGCAGTAGGATCCACAGCTAAGCTTCTCAAGGATGATGCCGATTAAGCCAGTGAGAACTAGCTCTATCTTCCCTTGCATCCGCACGATCTTCGTTGGGATCGGGTTCTTCAGCAATCGGATGCCCTCAACCCTGGCCTTGGCCGATAATGGCAACCGTGATTTCCATTCTCTGTCGCCCCAGACGTCTTTCATGACCATGGCATCCATCAAGGCAGACCATCGAGATCGTCCTGGACGGCTCACAGTCACGCAGCCGAGACCCTTGAGAGTTGGGGACCTCTCCTTTGCAGCGCCCAGGTTGCGGAACACTAGGATGATGGCGACAGGATGGGGCAAGACCAGTGCTGACAAGTCCCGACGAAACTCGAGGCCCCAGGACAGCCAGGAGGGCAGGGGTGAGCATCCCAACTGACCCGGCTGCTGCCACTGACATGGTACAGGAGGGGGTTTCAGGAGAGGGAGAGATCGTGAGGACGAAGACGGATTTTCTAGGAGTTCTCGTGGAAGATTCTCAAGAGGAGGGGACCGGCCAATGAACAGGAGGGATGATTTCAGAAGGGATGGCTCGAGGCAGCCGATTTCCCGTGAAGAATTGTACGAGAGGCAGCGAGAGCAGCAGGCCAAGCAGGTCGATGAGATAGCATTGATTCGAATCTCACAGCTCTGGCGCAGGCCGAGAGGAAGTCATGGGTGGAGGAACTGAACGAGGAGTTTCCGGCCTCTGACTTTGTCTTTGGAGTCTCTCCGGTAAGTTGCGATGCACCCTTAGCTGGTTGCCATGACCCTCCTGCATGTTTAGGTCCTGGCTGCCTTTCGAGCAAAGAGAAGGACGATTCATCGGCTGTACATACAGGTATAAACCAACATGGTTGGGATTCTTGCTGACTGGGTGACTCCAGGACAGCATGGAGATGTCAAAACGCAAAGATTCCAATGGTGAACCCGTCGCTGAAGCTCTGTCCAAAGATGACGAGCTGACGGTCTCTTGCAGCCATCTTGGAAATCAGGGCCGAGGCGGAGAAGTTGGGCTGTGATGTGGTGGAAGTCGACAAGGGCAGGTGAAAGCGAGCCTCGTCTTGATCTTGATGACCTCGTGGCAGACTGAACGTTCTGAGCGATAACCGCCCGCATCAGGCAGGATCTGCTCTTCACACTCGTGTACTTGCCTTCTCATTCCGTAAGCTCTTGTGCAGGGACTCATCATTGTCTGCACTCCTCTATCCTTTGAGCCGCTGAAAACGATGCACCCTATTCCCGAGGAGGAGTCGAAGGATGGCCATCCTCTCTGGCTCGTACTGGATGAAGTCATGGACCCTCAGGTTCATCCTGTCCTCGCCTACATCGCGTCTCATCGGCAGCGCAGAATCTTGGAGCCCTGCTCCGCTCTGCTTACTTCCTAGGAGCCGATGGCGTCATCGTATGCAGCAAGAACTCAGCTGGGCTGACGTGCGTTCCTCCTCCCCGAGCCTCCCCTTGCCTGACATCCTTGACAGCCCCTCCGTTAGCAAGGCCAGCGCAGGAGCCATGGAGCTCTATCAGGTCTACTCTGTGAGGTCCGTACGATCCTTCTGTTGCTCCTGCCGTCTGCTCCTTACATGCTGCTCTCAGCAACCTGATGCAGTTTTTGAACTGGTCCAAGGAGCTGGGCTGGCAGGTGGGGAAGGAGGAGAGCGCCTCTGGTCCCTCAAGTCACTGCAGGTGATCGGGTCAGCATTGGGGGAGAACAGCGTGCCCGTCTCGAGCACAAAGCTGACAAAGCCGACTCTCCTGGTGATGGGCAACGAAGGGCGAGGGCTGCGGACAAATGTGCTCCGAGAGTGCGACGTGCTCGTGCAGGTACAGGCGATCGTTGCCGTGATGACGAAAGCTGGATGCGAGGAGGAAGGGGAAGCAGATGAAGGAAGAGGGAGGGAGGGAGGGAGGGAGGGAGGGAGACAAGCAAAGCTGGGGGACTTGGAGAAGGAGGTGGACGAGTGAGATCTGTTCACGCAGATTGAAGCAGCTTCAGCTTCCGTAGCCCCCGACGATCTCGACGGTGAGCATCCTCTGAATTGTTATTTGCGCGAGAGTGACTTGAAGGATTTAGGAGACGACGTGCTCGACTCGCTCAACGTCTCCGTGGCAGGCGGGATCCTCATCCACCACTTCCTGTGCGCGAAGTAGGCCTCACCAGGCCTCCAGCACAGCAACGATGCTGTCCTCCCTCTTTTTGAATCCTGTCCGGAAGTTCCATGTGCTGTCTTTGTAGCCTTTGCTCTCCCCCTGAGCCTCCTCATCCTCCTGATGCTTGTTGTCATGTGTACGGATAAACTGAACAACCAGACTTACCATGGCGTCATCGCTTGCTCGACGTTCCAGCCCGTCAAGTACTTGTTGTGGCATCGTATTGGCAGACACACCAGCGACATATTCGATGTACCTGCTCGTGCAATCAGCAGAACGTGATTCAAGTCACGGCGAAGGGAGAGAGCAGGAAACGGGATAAAGACAATTGAGATGATTACAACCGGGATGATAGTGGAGATGCTGGAGGAGATGATGATGGGTGGGCATATGAAGGGTGTGAACATAGACAGGAAGAACCTTTGGTTCACTCTTTCCTTTGAGTCGGTCTTTAATTGACCTCCCCCGTTGGTGCATCCCTCCGGACATGACATCAACTCCACCTGTAGATATTCATGACGCTGAAAAATAGAGAGCGGAGGAGGAGAAGGAGGAGAAGAATTCAAGTGGAAAAGAAAGCTGGGGAAGTAGAAGAGAGACTACAGAAGAAGATCGTGGGTTAAGGAATATTAGAATTTCAGACAAAGGAGGATAAGGAGAAAGAGGAGGAGAATGCCATGATTCAGGAGGAAGCGATTCGGTTCGAACTCACATAATGATACTTGCACTGGCGCATCCTGACCTTCTGTATTAAAGTCTGGAGATGTCGATAACCATAGACAGCTGCAAAGTTCAACTCCCTTCCGCTTCCATCGGAAACTGTCAGCTCCTTGATGTCCAACGAGCCCGTGCTGGGGGAGCAACAGAACCTGTCACTTCGAGGGAGGGAGGGAAGGAAGAGGGGAGAGGCTCACGCTGGATAGTTGTACACAAGAGAAGGTGGTAGGTTGATGCCCAGGATCTGTTGAGCTGCATGCCTTGCCACCACCTGTATAGGAGAAGAAGGAAGACCATGTGAGTTTGCGAATGAAAAAGGGCTGGCAAGGCAAACAGTGGAGAGTTTTAAAGCGAAGATTGGAGGAGGAGAATGGTAGCAAAGCAGAGAATCGAAGGCATGTGAAATCAGCGAAATCACCTCTAGATATCCATTCGAAAAGCCGGCGGAATGATCGGAAAGTTGCGGTTCCGACATGCTAGGCAATTTGAACTTTCGTCCGACATTGCTTTCCTTTCCCTCCAACGTTTCTCCTTCAAGCTCCTCATCCTGATCCGACTTCAATGCTTCACCTTGTTCTGTCGCTTCCTGCTTCGCGGGGGAGACAGAAGCTTCGAACAAATCTCGCATATCGTCCATCCCCGGGCCGTCGGCCCCGTCTGCCGGGTTTGTGAGCAGATCAGATCTCGTTCACGTATTGATCGGCACACCTTGAAATTGAAACCCTTCCTGCAGCAGGTAAGAGTAAAACTCCGACGTCGTGATCACAGCGTCAGTCTCTGGGCTGGATGTTAAGGCCCCTCCTTCCGTTTCAACCACACTGAACTCCTCCCTTGCGCTCTCCAGCTTCTTGTCGAAGCAAGGCATGATCGTGCAGTGCCAGATCTGCAGGGACGATGACAGGGGTCAAACTTTAAGGGTTCGCACCTTGCTGCCTCCTGCGCCTCGGATCGTGGACGACAGCACTTGCTTGATCAGCTTGCCTGTCGACATGTCAAACGGGTTGAGACTAGAGAAGAGATAAGTCCGTTCACCGCTAATCGCCTGTGGCGAACGGACGGTCGAGAGGAGGCGGGCGAACAGGTCATACTGTTTCTTCTCACTGAAGATCACAACTCCCGGGCACTCCGTACAGAGGATTGGGAAGGGCCCTCGAGCCCCCCATCGCTCCATGAATTCCTTCTTCGCCTCATGCTGCGCCACCTGCGCGCTCAAGGAGGTATCGAACACAAACTTGACTCCAACTCTGAGCTTCAGAAAGCTGGAGACGCTCCTCGCAAACTTGGATGCCGTTGTGTTGAAGCACGCTGCCAGCGACGAGAGCGATTGAGGTGAGAATGAAACCACGCACGTGCTTCCCACCTCGACAGCCTTGGTGAGATGATCGACCCCTTGGCGTTTCATCATGACTTCCTCCGCAGAGGTCACGCACCCACTGCATGAAAGGCAGTCGCTCAACGAGACTGACGCTACTACTTCACTCCGGTTCTTGGGGTCTTTCCGCGAGCCCTCACTTTTCTTGAATGTATCACTTGATCGTGTGGTGTTGGCAGAGAGAGAAGTTTCGCTGAGAGTGATGTTGGTTGTTGTTGATGTATTTGTTCGAAACTTCACTCGGCGAACTTTCTTCTTCTGAGGCTTCTCTTGCGCCTTAATAGGAGCTGCGACTGATCCTGGCGGAGGCTTTTCCTTGGAGAACATGGCTTTCAATGGCAGGACACATTCTGACGCAGGAGACAAGAAATCGTTGAGATCGCCGTCTGTGAATCGTATTCCTGCATCAGCATCGTTGTAAGTAATCTGATGTAAATGTCCGAGCGCATGCTAGTACCAGAGCTACCCTCGCAAGTTCTCTCGATGGCGGCGAAGAGCACTGCCACCAGCAAGAGTTGCGATGGCCGTCGAAGCATTTTCACCATCTCAAGAGGTCCATTGTTGCAGCATGAACAACTTCAGCCCACGCCCTCTGCCGTCGTCGTGAGAGAGAAGAATCAGAGGAGCGCAAGGCAGGAAGACGATGAACAGTCCTTGGGCTGTTTGAAAGATCCGCAAGCTGGCAAGCATGCAGAGACATGGGGACCGAGGTTCTTGCGAGCATGCTTGTGTTACCTGTTCCTTCTCCTCCATCATGCTGCTCCCTTCGGTCCCTTCGCTCCCTCCGCCATCTCTCTTTCATTATCGCCTTTGCGCCCCGACATGGGAAGACCTTGTTCAATTCATGGGTGGGGTTATGTACCCTACCATATCAAATACCACAAATGTTCCGATGAAATCAGGGTGATCAGACCAGGTGCACCCCAATTCTAGAAGAAAAGGTTTGGGATGGGGTAGGGTAGTTTCTGGAAAAATTGGGGGTGGTCTTCCAAGGGGGGGTAGGGGACCACGTCACGATATGGGCGGGAAGAGCGAGAGAAGAGTTGAGGAAGACGAGTGGTTGGAGAGATGGGAGGAGAGATGGGAGGAGAGGAGAGATGGGAGGAGAGATGGGAGGAGAGGAGAGAGGAGAGGAGAGGGGAGAGGGGAGAGGAGAGGAGAGATGGGAGGAGAGATGGGAGGAGAGGAGAGAGGAGAGGAGAGGGGAGAGGGGAGAGGAGAGGAGAGATGGGAGGAGAGATGGGAGGAGAGGAGAGAGGAGAGGAGAGATGGGGAGGAGAGATGGGAGGAGAGGAGAGAGGAGAGGAGAGGGGAGAGGAGAGATGGGAGGAGAGATGGGAGGAGAGATGGGAGGAGAGGAGAGATGGGAGGAGAGATGGGAGGAGAGGAGAGATGGCAGAGAGATGGGAGGAGAGGAGAGATGGGAGGAGAGATAAGAGGAGAGGAGAGATGGGAGGAGAGATGGGAGGAGAGGAGAGATGGGAGGAGAGATAAGAGGAGAGGAGATATGGGAGGAGAGGAGGAACGAGAGGAGGAACGAGAGGAGAGGAGGAATGAGAGGAGAGGTGATGGATGAGGAAGAGAAAAAGGAGAACACAAAGCCAAGCTCTAGGCATCATAGTATGGTCATGATAGCTCAACAGGGACGTCCGGGAGTTGTGAAAGGGCACGGAACGTACAGTTTCAATGAAGCGATGTGGTGAAATAGGGAGATAAAGAGATAGGACGTTGGAAGATCTGTTTTGCCTGCATCACCGTATGTTTACTTTGCCCTTCAGTCGATGTCGGCAAATGGGCTCGGCTGAAAGCAAGCCGGCCAAGGACAACGAGGACCTTGCGCCCAAACTTCTTGCTCTCAAGGCTGCCAAGGAAAAGGAAGAGATATCTGAGGAGACGTTTCAGCAAGGTGAAATTACCAGAGGGTCGTCTCCAGAGCTGATATGTGCGATACGCAGAGATTCGGTCGTTGTTTGAGAAGAAAGAGAGTTCAAAGATGACCACTGAGAACGAGAATGTCAATGCAAGCTCAACCAACAGTTCAAAAGGTGCACGCCGGCTGAAGTTGCGGCGATCATGTGATGTGAAACGCAGTGAGCAACGAGACATCTAAACAAGGGCCCGTGAATGGAAAGGGCGCGGAGGAGGAGATCGTGCGGGAGGGCTTTGAGACTATCCATCTAGACCAGGCGAGCCCCAGGAAAGTGATCGACCTGGGAGAGGGGAGCCTTGCCTTGAAGCTCCTGCGGCTGAAGGGCTTCTTGTCTCGAGGAGAGATCAGCGATGAGCAATACAAGGCAGGAGAAGTGTGATTCATCGTCTGACCTCTGACCAGTTTTGTGCATCCAGCTCGAGCAGAAGAGACTGTTGAGAGTGAGATCGTTTGGCTGTCCTGATGGCCATGAGCTGGAGAAAAGCGAGAAAAAAGAGCAGGGATGGATATGCAACGTCTGCGAGCAGCAGATAGATATAGGTCCTCCCTCCTTTGCTCTGAGATCAGTGCTGTGCACTCATGCCCGTGACCAGGATCTGTCGTTTACAGCTGTCCAATGTGTGACTGGGACGGTTGCAGCAAGGTCTCTACTGGATGAGACATGTTGTGTGTATGACATGATGTATGAAAGTGTCTCAACGAGGCCAAGGCGACGGTCAAGGCTGCGGAGACAGAACAGGCAGGGAGCAGCGTCGAGCGCATCTTGTTCCAGTGCGGAGGAAACCATCCCCTGTCCTGCCATCGTGCGAAGACCTACCAGTACGAGTGCAACCTCTGCCGCGAGTCACTTCCGATGAAGTCGCTTGTGAGTGTTTTTGAAAACATGGAGGCAAACTAGCAAGGTAAAGGTTTCTCAGGTATTCAGCTGTCGTGAGTGCGACTGGGACGGTTGTGGCCTGTGCTATGCCCGAGTGGGGATGAAGGATGCGAAGTAGGAGATTCTCCTACCACTTGTCCTCCCCTCCTCAACTGCTCGCAGGATCGACATGCAGACCGAAGTGGCAAAGCACGTTTGCCCATCTCAGCACGTCCTCTATGAGTTTTCCACTCCTAACTCGGAGTGGGCCTGTGACACTTGTAGATCGGAGGTGTTCCGTTGGCGCTTCCACCCCTTTGATCTCAAGGTTGTCTGCAGATTGCTCAGGGTGCTATCATGTACGGCTGTAGAGAGTGTGATTGGGATATATGCATCGAATGCCTTTCCAAACAAGTCAAGCTCCCTGAAGCTGTGCAAGAAGGTCTTTCGATCTCTTTGATCACTCTGCATGCCGTTAGCGATGACATCTTTGAACTATTGTGTTGTTTCTTGTTTGTCTTCAGATCTCCTTTATGTTTCTTGCCTTCTACCTTTTTACCTTCTCCCCTCTGAATTCTCTTCGCAGCGCTTCCGAAGAAAGAGCCTTCTCTTGCCAGTGACATCCTTCGGTTGAAGCAGTCGAAGCTTGCAGGCTGGTTGACGGTAACAACACTGTTCCTTGTACCATCTCTTCTCTTCTTTCCTTTCTGCTCCTGTCTTCCAGTTTCTTGCTATGTAATTCTCTCCGTCCTGGTCCCCCACTCCCTCTGCTCCTGAATCCCCTGCTCCCATGCAGGAGGAGGAGTTCACCGTAGAGCTCAAGAAGTTGCTTGCGTCTCAGGGGAAGCCAACAACCCCCAGGGACGGAGTGCAGGTCACGCAGCAGACTGGAGGCGTCAAGCAGGAGCCTACCAAGACGGAGCCAAGGCAAGAGATTCTTTCCAACTTCGGCTGCCTTAAGAAACATGAGCTGAAGGTTTGTGATGCGAGCAACATCACTACCGCTCAGTCGATTTCTCGCAGATGTTCAATGCCCCAGACGATCAGTGGAGGTGCAATCTATGCAACCAAATTGTCCAGGTCGGCACAGTGATGCTGGGCTGCCGGGCCTGTGACTGGGATGGTTGTCATGCTTGCTACGACAAGGATAGGTCTCCTCCACCCGCTGCTCTTGTCATTCGCACCTCCCTTACTCCCCCTCTGCAGGGAAGAGAATGCACAGCTCGTCAAGGGGAGCCCCTGCTGGTACAAGAAGCCCGACGGTAGCCTTGTCCAGGTGCCGCCCGTCTCCACCCCAACTGATCGCACACTAACCCCGAGCTGCCAGGCGGTCATCGAGAGTGTCGATCAAGCTCACTCTCCGCCCTCCTACATCGTGGTAGTGGAAGGCAGTGCGCGCGAGACAGAGCGGGAGAGGCTACTTGCCTTCCTTCCTCTCGCGAAGTCGGTGGAGCTGCAGGTGCTCTTCCCAAACTCTCTGCGCGTCCTCTCTCCTGATGTTGGGGAGGAGCAGCAGGAACAAGAGAAGCTGCGAGCTGAGGCGACCTCGAAGGTTGGCGCGGAGGCTCCCGAGCCATCTTCGTAGTTCCAGCGATGCCTGACCAGATGCCTAGCTGTGAGTCACGACCCCTTTAATATGATCGGACACGCAGATCACGTTTTAACGGAATAACAGTACACATGGGCACCCAGCCCACTATGAAAGAATCGAGAAGTTCAGTTGGTGACTTTGTTGGACTTGAGAAGTCGAGTTCTTGTCCACTGCCTGCACGCTACAGCCGCTTGCACGATGATCGCGTGTCTCTTTGCAAGCACGAGGTGGTCCCTGTCGTAACCTCCTCCGATCACAGTCGCCACGGGGATCTTCATGGCCAGGCAGGTTCGCAGCACATAGACGTCCCGGTCGAAGAGCCCCTGGTCAGAGATGTGAAGCTTTCCCAGCTCGTCATCTGCATGCACATCCACTCCTGCATCATACAGCACGATGTCGGGCTTGAAATCAGCGAGCAGGGAGGGCAGGAACTGGCTCAGCCGCAGCAGGTAGTCTCTGTCCCCGACCTCGTCCTCCAAGGCAACGTCGAGGTCAGACTGCTGCTTGCGGAAGGGAAAGTTTGACTCGCAGTGCACGGAGACTGTCATTACATCCGGATTGCCCGCATGGATCGCTGCCGTCCCGTCCCCCTGATGCACGTCGAGGTCAAGGATAAGCACCCGCTTCGCCAACCTCTCGTCCCGCAGCCATGCTGCTGTCACCGCCAGGTCGTTGAAGATGGTGAAACCTGTGGAGCTGGTGAGTGCAAGCTCAAGCTAGAAACCAGACCCTACCGCTCCCATAGTCAGCGAACGAGTGATGAGTCCCCCCTGCAGCGTTGCACGCTAGCCTCCTCTCGAGCGCAAGTCTCGCTGCTATGGTAGTTCCCTGAACTTCCAGCAAGGTCCTCCTTACCAGCGATGGTGACCATGGCAAGCCGATGCGTCTCATCGCCCTGGGATCCATCTTACCCTCGCAAAAGTCCTCAACGAACTTCCTGTCATGGACCAGGCACAGCGTCGACGCGCTCACTGGCGCAAAGTCCTCGACCACCTCCACCTCCTCCCTCAAGTGCATTGTGCTCTCAATCACGTTCCTCATGCCGCCGAACTTGGACATGACGAACCGATGCTTGGGATCCCAGTTCTCTACGTCCCCGTAGCCCGGATGAGACACCACCGGAAGCTTGTCCACGAGCGCCTCGCACTCAATCGATCGCGTCCATACGAGGAGGGATTCCACAAAGGAGGAGGCGCGCATGGGGGGGCAGGCCAAGTCCTTGTCGGACATGGAGCGAATCTGATGCTCGGGTCGTCGTTTGGGAAGGTGAACCATGCGAGAGGAGGCGGGAAGAAACTTCAGCTGAGGAAGCGCCAGGCTAGGCCGCGACCACGCTGCCATTGCTACCATCCTTGCAAGGGGGGCCGAAAACTTTGAAACTTTACAACTTTGAAACTTCACTCTGGCAAACTTCAAAATATTGCCCAGTGAGGCGGACCTGCGTTGTCAAACTCTTGAGGCTCCCGATGGCGGTCGCGGCCTGGAGGGAAGGGGAGGCAGCCGCCATGGGAGCGCAGGAGGCGACGCCAGAAGGTGGAGGAGGAGACAGAGAGTTCAACGTACCGTAACTCGCCTCCTCTCCTCCTCAGGCTGGAGGCCTGACTTCGGTATGGCTGCGCTGGGAGCAGGAGGAGAGATGAGCCGGCAAGACGCACACGACGTCTTCGGGGTGACGGTGAGACGACATGGCCTGCTCCCACTCGTCTTGCTCGTCTTGTTCCAGGCGCGACGATGCTGATGCATGTTGAGCAGGAGGGAGAGAACCCCAACAGCAACGACGATTTCGTCATCGACCGTCCACACAGATATTACAAACTTCTGTCAGTAGATGTTTTGGCGCCTGTGGCGGTAAGGAATGACATGATTGGTCATAACAGGGAGACGAGGAGGGAAGGTTTTGCGAAGGTCTTCCGCTGGTCTGGTCTGGTCTCAGAGTTCGAGTGGACGCTGAGGTGCGAGTATGCGTCCTCCAAGACTGGTACCTGGCAACAGGCCAAGTACACGTGCGAATGCGGGCACACGCCCGAAGAGCAGGCGAGCAACCCGTGACGAGGATGATGATGAGGATAAAGTGGATGAGAATTAGGATGATTAGGATTAGGATTAGGATTGGGATGATGGAGATGATGATGATGGAGTTGATGATGATGATTGAAATGATGATGATGATGATGATGATGATGATGATGATGATGATGATGATGATGATGATGATGATGATGATGATGATGATGATGATGATGATGATGATGATGATGATGATGATGATGATGATGATGAGGACGAGGACGAGGACGAGGGAGCTAACGAAGGATGGGATGCAGGTTGGGTTAGTGTTTGGCCCTGACGAAGAGAAGAAAAGGATAGTGATCAGATCGTTCTTGATCGGGGCGGCAGCTCAGAAGTTGAGCGACCTTGCGCTTGCAATGTTGACTAATTGTGTGTGACCGTCAGGTGTGGCATCCTCAGAGTCGGAGACGTTCTGACGCATGTGGACGGCAAGCCTGTGCACAAGAGCTCTCTTGAAGAGGACGAGCGCTCAGAGCCGAGCGAGCAGCTGAGCTCCTCCTCCCCAGTCCTGCGAAGGAGGCTGATGAAGAGCAGGCAGAAGGGGAAGAGGGAGGAGAGGAGGACAAGAAGATCGTGCATGAGATCTTGCAAGTGAGGAACAGGCTGATAGGACAGCAGGGAACGTTCGTTTGGCTCTGTTTCTGGCGAGAAGGAGAGCTCGATGCTAGGGCAGCAGCGGGCTACCTGCCGGACTTCGGTCCGCATGTAGTGGTGGAGAGGAGGGAGGGAGGGTGCGCGTTCGCTGTAAGGCTGCTCCGAGGAAGTTGCGATTATATCAAGGCAGTTCATAGCGTCGACTGGATGTCGGAAAGATTAAGTCGACAAAAGAAGGTCTAGCTGATTGAGATGATGATTGAGATGATGATTGAGATGATGATTGAGATGATGATTGAGATGATGATGGAAATAATGGAGTTGATGATGGTTGCGTACAATAGGATGATCGTCGATTGACTTGTAACTTATAGATGCTCGAGTTCGAAAGACAAGAATGGATGGTGCAGGAGTAAGTGGATAGTGATACACTCTTCTTCTGATTCTTACTAGTTGTTTCTGGCATTTACCATTCTCCTCTCTCACCTTTCTTGTCTATTCTTCCTTTCCTTGTC